GCCCCTGGGGGTTACAAGAAATAATGGCCACAAGCTAGCAGAGAGCAGATTTAGACTGGACATTAGGAAGAACTTCTTCACAGTTCGAGTGGCCAAGGTCTGGAACGGGCTCCCAAGGGAGTTGGTGCTCTCCCCTACCCTGGGGGTCTTCAAGAGGAGGTTAGATAAGCATCTAGATGGGATCATCTAGACCCAGAACTCTTTCCTGCCTATGCAGGGGGTCGGACTCGATGATCTATTGAGTTCCCTTCCGACCCTAACATCTATGAATCTATGGAAGGACTGGCCTGGGTGGAGCACTGTCAATGCAGCCATACCACTTCCAGTATCCGAGCACACTCACGTAGAGCAAGCATGGATGTCTCTAACACGGCATGTGGTTATGTCACATTGACATCCTTTCAGTATCAAAGCTGGGATCAGAATCCAACTCTTTCGCTCCCTCATCTTATCTTCTAGGTTTAAACCCTCTAAAGGACATCACAAAGTAGGTTGAAGGAGAAAGGGACAGAGTTGGGCTCATTTTCAGAGTTGAAACAATTCCTGTGCAGTCTACTGTACACCTTAAAGGTTGGCTTTGAACATGTCTAGTAGGAAGGAGGCAGAGTTTGAGACTCTAGGAATCTAGGTGGTGATCAAACGCATCAAAAAATTGATGCTTTCCATTGCTGGAGGAGAAGGCAAAGAGGCTGTGTTGTTTCTCCAGGCCCTGCTCAAAGATGATAACCAAGGGGAGACATGGGTGGAAGAAGATCACCAGGATGAACATTTGGGCAAAAAGTAGCAGGTCTTTGCCAGATACACCAGCCCTGGACAAAACTGGCATAGCGGGGTGCACCAGAGAGTCCTACCTGTTTGCCAAAGAGTGGAGTAGCTCTGGTCCCACACAGAGCTCCTGGATGAGGACGAGGTGCCGTGGGCTCACGTAGGCTCCCTCCAACCGCGCTATGTTTACATGATGAAGCTTCCTCAGGACCTGATATTCCTGGAGCACAGCCTGCTTGTCCTCTGGACGGTAAGGGATAATTTTGGCAGCCAGCGCTTTCCCACACAGTTTTTCCCGACACTGTCTGACAATGCTGAAACGACCCCTGGAGCAAAGAAACACAAGGGCAAGTTAAATGTTTCCTCCTTTTTGTGGCCTGGTCCAGCCTGAGCCAGATTCTGCCATACCTTCCGTTTCCTTCACATCCATGCATGGGGCAGAAGCCAGGATTGTACTGGGTTATTAGAAGAGACTATAAGAGACATCATTTTTATGACATTTTTAAAATTTGTTTGAAGCCAGAAGCAAAAGGCTGATTCCTGGGGTCTGCAATCAACAGCTGCAGTGCCTGATACATCAGAGAGAAGATCCTTTACTAAGCGGTAGTTGAGCTGGGCTATACGTTAGTGAGCTCCTTACTTATCTTCTGAAATACTAATTCCTAGATGTATAAACCTGAGGGATAGGTTATTTCCTAAGGCTAAACTGAGGACCGTTGCAGGGTGACTGGGATGCATACCTGGAGTGACACCCACCTGCCCCAGGGGAAGCTCTTCTTTTCTAACCTGTGTCTCTGAGTGGCCACAGTGTGGGGCAGAGAGCTGACTGCAAACTCCCAAGTGTCTCTGGTTCTGTTACAACTGGAGCCTAGACAGAAGTGCCCTGGACCTTGGGGCTAGGGACAGACATCTAAAAAGCCCAAGCCTGAATTGATTCAATCTTTGCAGGTTAGCCTAACATGCCTAGGTTGAATCGGTTTGTAAGTGCACAGACATTCCCTCTGGACTGAGGGAATGAAGGCACATGCCTGCAGTGGCTCAGGCTAGAAGCCGTAGGGTGCTAGAGCAGCCCTCCCTTCCCTTCTACCGTGCTGAGCTGAGGAGGGGAATGGCCAGGCCCCAGCAGGGTGCTCTGATTAGGGAGGGATGTAAACCCTCACTCTGCCTGCAACATCCCAGGCTTTTCCCCACTTGTTGCTCAAGGGGCGGGAGTGTTGCCAAACCCGAGCCCTGGGCTAGCACTCTGAGGCAAAGAGTGCCTGTTGATGATCTGTTGATGATACTGTTGATCATCTGTTGATGATCTGTTGATGATACTGAGCTTTTCAATCTCCCTCTCCCTGCTTCTTCATACTGTCTGCAAACCTGACAGGTGAAGGAGCCAGCAGGGACCTGATAACACAGCATTTATCAGCCCATCAAGAAAACAAAAGTTTCTCTCATTAGTTCAAGCTCTTAAACAGCTTTTTCCAAGGAAGGAACGGAGGGACGTTGCCAGCTGACCGGGTGATTAGCTCCAAAAAGCCCTGAGTGGACACTGTCCTGGTCTGCCTTTGTCCTGTCCCAGTGAAATTGGAGACACACACACAGGATCCTCTCAGTATTAGCTAGCATACCATATGCCTAGGGCCCATGGGGCTGGGGTCCGTGCTGTGGGAGATGGGAGGGAGTGGAGGGATCCCTGTTTGGACAGCGAGTGGCAAGGTGGGGTGAGGCAGGGGGAAGCCAGGCAGACCCTGCTGTGCCTGCAGTCTCCACTAGAGCTCTGGCTAGGAAGCAGAGGGGCAGAGCCAGCCCTGTTCTCTGGAGCAGACAGCCCAGCCCATGGCTGCAAAGCACCTGGGATGCTGGAGGACTCTGGTTTAACTTAAACCAGGAAGAAGCCTGAGACAGACATTGCATAAATCAGTTCGACCATCAGTTAAGTCTGATTCTACATTCAACCAGGTTGATCTTAAACTAGTTTCAGCCATTTTGAAACTGGTTGATGTGCATTGAACTTATGTTCTGTTACAGGTTTAAACCAGTTTCTGATCAGTTAAACCAGTTTATGTGTAATGTCTGTCCCTAGCCCAGGTGCTCAAAGGGAAATTCCACCTATCCAGAATGAGGATATCCCACACAGACTGGCAAGATGCACATGAAGGCTAGACGCTTCTGCAGACTTTGACTCAGACTTCAGCCACCAGACCGCTGGAGGAGGGCTGCCCTGCCAACAAGCCAAGGCTCCCATGTCCTGTGATTTTACCTACCGGAGGTGTCTTTATTAAAACCAAGTGGGAAGGGGACAGGACAGAGATGGGCAATTGGTAAGTTTAAGGCAGTGGCATTTCCAGCGGTGAGGACCCAAACTCTAGCTGGCAATGCTGGAGTCCATCCCCCACCTGGATTTCCAGCCTTCATACCTTTTGATCTCTGTTTGGAAGGCATAGGTTTGGTGGGTTGGAAAAGGCTCTTCAGGTGCCATTATTCCACCCTCTTCTTCGGAGAACCTCTGCTTTGCAGACTGGAAGGCTAGAAGGAAAAACGGACACGGGTGTATAACAACACTGACCAAATCTTCATTTAGTTCATTCCTGGGTGTCTATAAATGGAGATGGAAGCAGGCAGCTGCAGTATTTCAGACTTCTGCAGACAAGGTTGCTCGATGTTTAGACACCAAAGTCATCAACGTTGCACTTTAATGCAAACAAGTCCCTTCAGGTTTAGCGTTTCCTGTGGTGCAGCCACTGCAGACATACTGTCATGTTATGTTAGAGGATGTTGGGCAAAGGGAGCGGCAGCAGCCAAACAATGATTTTATAGTATATCTAGCCTAGGACTTTGGTTCTCACCAGGTCACAGCCCTCAGTGAGGGTGGCAAGACATTGCCTATAGATTCAAAACTCACCCCTGTTCATGTTTCTAATGAAGTGGGCCCAGTTACTAACAACTGCTGGATGAGCGCCCCAATGAGGAGCAGCACATGACCCATCAGGGCCTCTCCTTTGAAGTACCATGTGAACTGGCAGAAGGGAAACTGGGACATGTCTCAGTGGTTGTGAGGTCCCAGTAAAAAAAAAAAAAATGGATGTGAATTTCTGACCTAGGACAAGCAGACACAGGTACAATTGATACACAACATTGCCATGGGCTGGGCTTGAGTTTGGTCTGGTAGGGTCACCTCAATGAGCAGAGAGAACTATCATGTCACATAGGCCATCATCATCCCACCCTGCCAATACATGACTCCTTACCCAGCTGTTCTTCTTCGCCAATCTTTACTTTGGCAGATGGAGTACTGTACGGGCCCATTCCAGCTTTACTGATGCAGGCCGTCCTGAAGGAGTAAACCAAGCCGCTCGGGAGATTATTGGCATAGTAGCAGCAGTCAGAGACACCAGTAGCAAGGGTCGTCCACTCCCCATCTTGGCCAAGAAAAGAAAATGTATGTCCGGGGTTATTCCAGGGGATCATCTCATTCTTTTCTCTGCTAGTCGTGCTCCAGGAGCATAGAAAAGTTGCGACATTTTTTAAAGGCGTCTCAAAATGTTGTTAACCTGGGAATGTCACTTCATGGTGACTTTTAATGCATTACAGTGATCGCACACTCTTACTTCTGACGCCAGGAACTTCTCATTGGAGCAATCCAAGGACCGGTGGTTTTGGTTGGCAGGGCTAGCTATGAATGGTTTTGGTTTCTTTAAAATGCTTTCCCTCCTACCCTCTTTGCCTTCCCTTTACTGCTGATGTGCAAACACAAATCTATAGTGGAAATCAAAATCCTCGATATAATAATAATCTTTCACTTGACTTTACACTGAAAGCAAATGAAACTGCAAACATTGTTTGATTTAAATTGAGACCCATACAGCAGCTTGAACCTGGGCTCAAGTTCACCCCAGGTTTTTGGATCTTTTGGGGGAACTCAGAAGACGTTTGTAGTGGAATCCAGATCTGAATGAATCGGTGGCATTGTACATGTTTCACTGGGACTCTCCATCTTATACAATTGTTGAACCTAGTGAGAGGAACAGCTATGGGATGAAATGCAAGAAGCAATATACGGGAAACATAGCATTGCCCAAAACAAAGACGCTTGCAAGTCTGCTACGGAGCTGGAACTGTGTGGGCAGAAAGCTTTGCTGAGGCTTGTTGGAGGCGTGGGTGGAGGTGGGGGTGGGTGGATGGAAAAGCATGTGACAATGCCTGACACAGGAGTGCATGACCTTAAAAGAGAGCTTTTGAGCTGAGAAGCAGTGGCTGAAAGAGCTGTGAGCAAAGGGAAACTGTTTCTTGGTATTATCATTTCTCCTGTATTCGGGAAAGCAGGATGTTGTACCTTCCTTTAGCTGAACAGAACTGCAGCAAGGACATCTAATGCCACCTCTGCTTCCTTCTCTTAACTGGTACTACCCTTCACTTCGGGTAACAGTGTCAACAGAAGTCATGCAAGTCACTGTGAAGTCATGCAATATGGTTCTGGGAAACCAGCAGGGAAATGACAAGGCTCTTTGAGTAAATCTGATACCTTTCATTAAACCAACTCAAATAGTTGGAAAAATTATTCTTAGCAAGCTTAGAAGATTTTTTCCAACTATTTGAGTTGGTCTAATAAGATATCATATTTACCCAAAAAAATCTTGTCTGCCCATGTCCTTTGACCAACACAGCTACAACCTATACCTCTGTAATCAGGGCAAATGAGGCACCACAGATCCAGGGTCAGGAAACAGGAGGAAGGGATTTATTCAGGCATAATCCACATTAAGGATAGGATGTCCTAGAGTGCTCATGGCTTTTCAGACTGGGCTGCACAGTCTGTTCAGCTAAAAGAAGTCCCATGTGGGTTGTGGCTTATACAGGCTATGGCAATATAAATGCCAATTAATATTATTCCAATTAGGAATGGGATAAGAGAGGCCAGGCTCAAAGGGTTTGACTCAAGGCTGATGAAAGTCACTGCAAATATTATCACTGACCTCAATAGGCCTGAGAGAGAGAGGCAGGCAACCCAACCAGAATATCCCTAGAAGCATAACGGTCTTTGAATGCAGGAGACTAATTGCACAGGACTTGCAAACCCGGACAACTTTCTCATGGGAAAGGGAGTATATCCTTACCTTCACTTTTGCACTGTATGCCATAAGTAACCGGGATGGCAGATTCCACCGGTTTCCAGACCACCTGCACCCCATCTTCGTACACCTCCACAATATCAGGAGGTGGAGGGCTCCCAGGAACCTCTGTCAGGAAGATGCACAAAATTCAAAGCATCAAGGGTAAAGGTCTGAAAACAGACTAAAATGAAAGATCCACACCTATTAGATGAGTAATACAAGGCTTGTTTGGTCCCAGATATCCTTCTGTTTCCAACAGGTGATCCCCATCGGGGGAAGAAAATCATTTTGCCTTGTTTCACACCCTGTACAGACCTGAAAATGCAACTTAAACTCAATCCTGGCTAGATGGTCTTACCCCCCCCGTCAGACTGATCACCATATTTGGGGTCAGGAAGGGATTTGATCCCATGGTCAGATTGGTTTGGACTGTGGGGGGTTTTGCCTTCCTCTGTAGCAGGAGCGTGGCCCTCTGCCTGGGATGTCTTGGGTGTACATTAACAATTTTTTACACAAGCAGGATGTTGGCTGCCGTGGTTCCCCTGCTTTACCTGTGGCAGGTTAGGGTGTTATGTCTTGTAATGTGTCAGGGTTGATGGTAAGAGGGTAGATTATGCATTTATTTAGGATAGGTTTGCTAGGGATAATCCTGCCTCAGGCAGGAGGTTGGACTAGATGATCTCTGGAGGTCCCTTCCAGCCCTGCTTCTCTATGATTTCCATGGGCTTGCTTTCCATTTAAGAGAGCAATGGTAATAAGGGACTGGGGAGAAAGACCAGAGTGCAACCTGCAGAAGGGAGCATGGCAACAAAACCTGTGGATAAGGAGCACCCATAGGAGAGAGAGAAAAATCCCCCTGAAAATATAAACCCAGTAGTTCCAATACATCACTGATGTAAGTCCATCAACTTCAATGGGCACGCACTATGGAAACTTTGGCTAAGTCTGGATAATGAATGCACACTCATGCTGCTGGAAGACAAATGTCCTCTTCTTTGGGCAGCAATGTGTTTTGGGCTATTTCCTAAGATGAAAGCACTTGCAAATTTTAAAAAATGGGCATAAATTGGAGAGGCTTAATAAGCACGCAGTTAGGAGGCATTTTGGGAGCAGTTAGGAGGTATTTCAGTTTAGGAGGCATTTTGCCCCAGCTCCAGGGACACGTGTCTCAGCCTTGCTCTGGACTGATTGTATAAGGCATGCCTGCTCCAGCCTCGGTGTGCTCAATTTGCACTACTGAAATCATGGTGTCTGTGCTACAGTCCAAGCCTTAACTTGCATTCTCAAGTATTTGTCGTGTAGAGGGGGTTCAGGGAAAGCACAAGCTCAGATGGACATGCCATCTCTTCCACCTTCCAGCACAGAGGTTTCTGGTGGGAGAGAAGTCCAACTTCCATGGGACTGCCTCATGGGAAAGGTCAGTAGGGAGCACATCCTTCCCTTCTCCTTTGCACGGTGCAAGTAACTGGGATGGCAGCTTCCACTGGTTTCCAGACCACTGGTGCTTCATCTCCATACACCTCCACAATATCGGGAGGCAGAGGGATACCAGGCCTTCTCATCCTTCTCTCCCTCTCTCTCACATCTCTCCCACCATAAACCTGTTTTCTGTGCGCGTGTTTAGGTAAATCTATGGGCATCTCTATACCAGGTCTAGTAACCGCTCCCTCAAAAACAACACATCTCTATGTGGGCTGCCTCCTAACACAGAAGCAGTAACTGTGCCTGAGGTGCTGCGGGCAGGCTAATCAGCATGGAGGTGAGATAATTGGCGTGACTGTAATTAGAAAACCTGAAGTGCTGTAGACGTGACCATATTACTACTTCGATTTAGGAGGCAACCTGCTTGGCATAATTAAGGGTGTCTCTGGTATGTTTAACCGTGTGGACATGGTGTGCATTTGCTTATTATGGACATGCTTCTACTCTGAAGCACAAATGGTAAAAAGCCATTCATCTGCCTTCTTCACTTACCTGCTTTCCTTACCAAACAGGAGGTGGAGGCTGTACCTAAGGAGCTGGTGGCCACACATGTATAAACACCAAAATCCTCTGGAGTTACCACCAACATGGTTAAAAGCTGGAAGTGTTTGAGTGTGCTTGAGATCAGTATCCTACTGCTGCTGTGAAGGAGGATCCCGTCTGAAAGCAGAAGGAATATGGGGGAAAAAAGCCTATTTTATTCTACTGAGATGTCTCAAAGATCTCTTTTTGGGGGGCAGAATAGTTAATCCCATCCTACCAAACTGTCCCCTGCAATTTAGAGTCTCATAATGATCTCAGTTGTGCTACAACTCCAACACCTACTACTCGTTAATCCCGGATACCCAAAAGAGAGTCGACGTCACCTCGGAACCACTCGACGTGCGGGGACGAGTGGGCAGACGTTCGGCAGGAGAGCGTCACGGACTGTCCTGGCATCGCTGTCTGGTCAGTCAGCTCTTCCACGAAAGAGGGTGCTGAAAGGGAATGGAACAGCAGCATTTCAAACACGCTGAATGGAGCACGTGTAAAAATTGCATGTGATACCCCAGAAAACACTTTTGATCAGAAGAGCTACCAAGGAGATCCAATGAAGTGAAAAAAAGAAAGATGACTGAATCTTGAATTCTTCCCTGAAAAGCAGGCCGGCCTCGCCAATAGGCCTACCCCACTACCCTACCCTACCCTACCCCAACACTTCAGAATAACTTATCAGCCTGGCGGTTACGGCATGCTCTTGAGAGATGTGGATTTGACCCTCCTTAGGTAGAGGAGAAATTACACTCCAGGGCTGTCACAATCTGAGTAAGTGTCTTACCCACCAGGCTATTAAGGGTGTATGTAGATAAAACAGGGGCCCTCAATTAAAATGGTGGGTTTTTAAAAACAGCGCTTCAATTTAGGGCCCTTTAAACCCCTGTGTTGTGCATGCACCTGTGCACTTACATGCCTCTCCAGCGGGGAGGGGAGGGTGAGCTCCCGGCGGGCTGAGCAGTCCCTGGGCTGGGGGGGGCTGGTGCTTCCCTCCGTGGCAGCGGTGCCCCCCACCCACAGGCACCCAGCTCGGGCGGTCCCGGGGGGCACCGCAGCTGCAGAGGGAAGTACCCCACACAGCTCAGGCAGGCAGGCAAGCTCCAGGGAAAAAAAAAAAGATCTTGGGCAAAGCCTGCCTTCCCGGGCTGCTGCCAGGCTGCCTGCAGGGGCTTCCTGCAGAGCCCCTGAGCTGCATGGAGCCCGGTGCTTTGCTCCACAGCTGTAGGGCAGCAGACTAAAACTCCTCGGAGGAGTTTTAGTTTGCTGCGCCCCAAGTAATTTAAGGTGCATTATGCCACCGAATTTGTTACAGCAGCTGGAATTAATGCGCAATACGCTGCTGATGCATGCAAACACCAACACCATAAAAGTGGTGCAAAAGCATTTAGCCCACTTTAAAGTGTCATGTGCACATGCCCCTCATTTCGTCTACACATGGTAAGACACCAACTTCTTTCCCCACTGTGTTTTCAGGGAAAGGAATGATTACCAATTCATTTCTTGAAGGGAAGGGTACAGGCACCTATATTCCCAGAAAGGAGGTTGGCACTTCCCATATAGCACTACCAAGGGGTCTAAACCCTACTGACGGCAGGATTTCAGACAAATCAGGATTATTTCTGTTTTTAAACCGACGATGGTGCAATGTGAAAATCAGGCTCGCTTCTGGCAGAACAGACCAGCATCCAGACTCAGGTTACTGCCATTATATTCCCCTGTGACATTCCCTGGTAAAACGAACTGCAGACTCATGCAACCAAAGTACCTTTCTCCTTTGTTTTGAGGCTTGATAATCGGAAAGACGGGAGTCCTGATTTCTTTTTCAAATGTCCTGCAGCTTCATGCAGCGGTTCACTCTCTGATGCATCAGCTTCTTGCTCCTCGATGCCTTTTACCAAGAAATGAATAGAAACCAGTCTACCCAGTCCATGTCACTCTTACTGCTGCATATCATTAAAGCCTCTATGCTGTTGTTCATATAAGATAAGCACAGCAGTAAAAATGCTAGGGGTCTCCAGTTAATGAACTTTCAGTGAATACATAAATTTACGGCAAGTTTAATAAAAAAAGCCTTAGCCATAATGACATTAAACCATGTCAGGTTAGAAGAGCAGTGGCAGAAAGATAAAACATGCAGAATCCTCTAAAGTGAGGCTAGCTTGAGATGACAGATCCCCTCTGTTGTCCAGATCCTAAGCACGTGTCCACAGTTATCCATCTGGTGCAATCCCACCGAGTTCAAGTGAGTCACTTCGGATACACATTAGTGTCACTCCTAAGTTCAGATCAAGCCACGCACCTTACTTTTAGGCAAGAGAGGATGCCAGATATTTTTTCTGAAATAAAGGCTTTGGCCTCAGAGCATGGGAAGAACCTCACCAAGTCAATAGAGACTTGATGCTTTTCCTATTAATAATACTGGGTGATTTGTTGCTGTTCACTGTCTAACTCAGGGAAGTATCTCAAAGTTTTATTTTTCCCCCCTGAGCCACGAGTGCAAATATTCAGAGTAAAGGAGCTGACGGCAACAGAAGACTTCACCAAATCTCTTCTGGCAACACAAATCAGCAGGACGCACAGTCCAACAAGCTCCAGGAATGTGCTGGGGACATTTTATTTCAGAAAACGGGGAGGTTGCCAGGGATGGGAGCAATGACTTGTCCAACAGGGAGAACTGGCTTGGAAACAATTTGGATGGCAGGGATCACAACATGATAGAGGTCATGCATCTGAGGAAGGAAAGACTAAGAGCAGCAGGATAAAGACAGCAGACTTCAAAGAAGCAGACTTCAGCAAGTTCAGGGACCTGGTAGGTAGGGTCGGTTGGGCAGAAATTGGGGTCAGTCGACAGCTATTGAGAGAAGCTATATTCAAGACACGGTAGCAAACTATCCCAGTGTGCAGGGAAGGTAGGAAGCACAGCAAGAGAGCAATATCGCTTCAGGGGGAGCACTGCCATCACCTGAAGATCAAGAAAGAATTGTATAAATGGTGATAACATAACTAGAGATGACTATAATGGTAAAAAAGCACAAGAAAATGTGATAAAATCAGGAAGGCTACAGTGCAAAATGGTTTAGGACTAGCACAGACCTTGGAAAGGTTTTACTAAATACATAAGAAGCAAGAGGAGCACAAAAGTAAATGGTCTCTTAATGAAGAAGAACATCATGATACAGAGAAAGTTACTGCATTTTTTTTTGCCTCAGTCTTCTTAAAAAAGGTTAAATGAGTTGAGATAATAAATGGATTGTACCCCAGGGAGAGGAGCACAGGTGGAATAAGGCAGGGAAAAGGGCTAAAGACTATTTAGATGAGTTAGATGTACTCAAGTCGGCAGGGCCTGATGAGATTCACCACAACCTTTTTAAGGAGCTTGCCAAAGCGATCTTCGAATTATTGGTGGGGATCTTCAAAAAGTCACGGCGGATGTGGGAGCTACCTGAAGGCCGGAGAAGGGCAAACATGGGGCCTGGTCTAAAAAAAGGAAAGAAGATGACCTTACTGAAATATAGACCAATCAGCATAACTTTAAGAAATAATGCACATAGAAACGTTGTTTCCAAACAATCTAATTCCCTTCTCTGACCAAGTGACTGGCCTAATAAATAGGGGAAAACAGTAGAAGTGATTTATGTCAACTTTAATAAGACGTTTGACCTGTCCCATATGACATTTTCACTAGCAAATGAGGGGACTATGGTAGATGCAAACCTCGTTGATAAAACATGCTCAAAGGATGGTTTTTCAATGATTTCCGAAAAATTAACAGGGTATTTCAACTATGGTAAAGCAAGGGTCTGTCCTGGATCTAGTTCTATTCAGTATTTTTATTCACGATTAATGAGAACAGAAGCTTGTACAATGAGATCGTGAGATACGTGAGATCGTGCTTATACAATCTGCAAGCATCAGGCTGGGAAGAGCATCAGACACTTTGCAGGGAAAGGATCAGAATTTTAAATGATCTCGATAAACAGAGAAACGGCCTAAAAATCAGCAAGATGACATTCAATAGCAACAAAGAAAATATGTCACTGAGAAAGGAGACTGGGGAATACCTAGCTAGGCAGCAGTATGGCAGAAGAGGATCCGGGGAGTGATAACAGACCACAAACTATGAGTTAACAGTGTGCTTCTGTTGTTAATAAAAAAAAAAAAAAAAAAGACAAACCTCATTCTGGGAAGTTTTAAGAGGGGCCATGGCGTCACACTATGTCCCATCTTAAGCAACCCCCTCTATGGAAGATAAAGACAAATGGTAGAAAGTCCAGAAGACAAGCAACAGCATATAGTAAGACTGCGGGAAAGCAGGACCTAAGACAGGGGTGGGCAAAATGAGGCCCGTGGGCCGGATGCAGCCCACCAGGCCATTCTGTCAGGCCCATGGGACCCCTAAAAATGTAGAAAATGAATATTTATCTACCCCTAGCTGCCTGTCATGCGGCCCTCGATGGCTTGCCAAAACTCAGTAAGCAGCCCTCCGCCCAAAATAATTGCTCGCCCCTAACCTAAGAGGAAATATTGAAGAAATTGGGTTTGTTTAGTCTAGAAAAGAGAAGATTGAAGGGTGCAAAGGTTGCTATAGGAAAGTGGGGACCAATTCTTCTCCGTGCGTACTAAGGGCAGGACAAGAAGGGCTCAGCTTCATTTGAAGAGAAGATCACTTAGGAAAAGCTGTCAATTATAAGGAGAGTTGAGCCCCAGAGCAGGAGTTGCAGGAAGGATTGAACCCTCTGTCATCACAGGTGTGTTTTACAGAAGTTTGCAAAACATCTGCCAGGGAGGGTTTAACTTGATCCTGCCTCTGGGCAAGGGCTGAACTGGATGAGCACTTATAGTCTCTCCCAGGAAATATCTGCATGCCCTAATTTAGCTCACAGGTGTAATGTATAAGCTGATGCAAATAAGAGAGCACAGGGAGCAAGGAAAAGCAAGGGTCAAAAGGACCCAGTTATATCAGCCCATTTAAACACAGAATGAGATTTTTACCTTCCTCTATTTCTTGCTCAGGGGCCGGTTTCCCCTTCAGGATTCTTGAAATATGGGCAACAGAAGCTTTTACTTTATTCCTCAGACTCTGCTCCACTGGCTGCTCCACTGAGTGCGACCTGCCGTAGGGCTTGGACAGTCCTGGCTTGCTGTGCATGGAGCTCTTCTGTTTGCCACCTGAGCCCTTTAGGGAGACTGGCTGGGATTTGCCTGCCACGTGGCTCTCCAACCCTTTCCCTGCATCTTCGGAAATTTCCAAAAGGTTGTGTCTGGCATCCTGGGAATTGTCCTCTCGAACACACAACCTTTTATCTTTATGCAAGTACCCAGGAGGTAACTTGTCCCCTAGCCGCATTACTCTTTTACTGGGTAGCTTGGGCGTGGGTTTCCTGAAGCTCATGAATTCAAATGGAAAATATACGATGTCATACAGATCTGATAGGTTTAAATATGCTGGCTCAACCTCCGATATGTCGAATTTTGAAATCTCACCACCAAAATTAGACATGTCTTCTGAGAGGTCCTTGATTTTCACCAAGGAAACTTCAGAGTGTATACTCCTTTCCTTTATATGGGCTATATAAGCGGATATTTTTACAGAACCTGAACTATCAGACTGGGAATCACTGTGTTGGCTGGAAGCAAGGCTCTCGACTGCTAAATCCTCCAGATCTTCACACTCATGAGGAACCATCTCTTCTTCAGTCCCTTCACCCAACACCACTGGCTTCGTCGATTCATCTTTCACCGCGGGTAATAATGTCATATCATCCGCAATATCATCCAGGTAAATGATGTCTTCTTTTTCATCTGGTGGCACGAAATGCATGGCACATCCATCTACTGCTTGGCCGGCTGGCCCATGGTAAAACATTTCCTTTGGAGGGGGGACTAGCTTTATTGATCCCTCTTGACCAGAAACAGTCTCTGCCAAAACACTCATCTCTTCGGACAGGCCAACCATCTTGTCCACCAAGTCTTCCAGAACGGCAGACTCCACCTCGCTGTAAACCAAAGGCTTCAGATGCAAATATTTCTGGCTTTTATCCTCACCGCTGGAAGTGGGGACAGTCTCTCCCATAACTGGGCTTACGCTTTCCAGGATGGCTGATCCCATTTCCCCCAAAACCAGCGGCTCCTGTTGCTTCTGGCATTCACCTGCAGAGACTGACTCAGGGGCAGTTTCTGGTGCTGGGACAGCTGGGGGCTCCTGATCCAGGGCAACAGATGCTGCTCCACTGTGGTACTCTAAGTGCTCCTTGTATTCATGCTCACACACTGAAGGCAAAGCAGTCTGTAGTGGTGAGACTGTCACTTGCTCACTTGCTGGGACAGTGGATGCTGGGCTACTATCAAAGGCCTTGCATTCGAGATGCTCCGGGCTTTCACGCTCACAAACTGAATGCAGGGCACCCTCCAGTGGCATGAGTCCTAGAGCTGCTGGGCGTTCACCTCCCAGAAGAGCGGATGCTGCACCGGGGCGATCAGAAGAAGCCTCGAGAGCAAGGAGTTCCTGGCTGTCGGTCTCAACGGCGGACAGGGGGGCAGTTTCCAGCGGCCGAACCCCTGGAACAGGGGGGCGTTTGCTTGCTGCAACAGTGGATGCCAGGGCACGGTGATCTACATGTTTCTGGATTTCATGCTCACCAGCCAAACATGAGGCAACTTCAGTTTGTGGCACTGCTGGACCAGCTGGGTGCTCGGCCGCTGGGATCATGGGTGCCTGCCCCTCTGCTTGTGCACGCTCCAAATGTTCTGGACTTGCAGCCTCCCGTGCAGACTGCAAGGCAGTTTCCAGTGGCAGGACTCGTGCAACAGCTGGACGTTCACCAGCAAGGACAGTGGATGCCTGGCTGGGGTAATCAGAAGCCTTGTGCTCAACATATTCCTGGCTTTCGGTCTTGCAAACTGAATGGGAGGTAATTCCTGGTGCTGGGGCTGCCAGGACAGCTGGGTGCTCGCTTGCTAGATGAGCGGATGCTGGGCTGTGGCGGTCAAAAGCCTCGGGCTCTAAATGTCCCTGGCTTTCTGGCTCACAAACTGCGCGTGGAGCAGTTTCTGGCTCTGGGACTGTTGCAAGAACAGGGCTTTTACAGTCCGCGGGAGCGGACGTTGCATCCTGGTGATCAGGAGGTTTCCCATGTAAGTGCTCCTGGCTTTCATCCTTATGGACTGAGACTGGGGCAATAGCCTGATGAACTGGGCTTTCACCCTCCATCTGGGCATGCTCTTCAGCATGGTGAACATAAGGCTTTGGCTTCTCAAGTAAATGTTCTC